TGTCTTATTTAAAGTGTCTTAAGATATTTACACTATAAACTAGATCAAAAATACTTAATAAAAATTTGTTTTTTGCAGTGTTGTTGATGTTACAACATTTGAACACTGAAAAAACACCAAATCTTACCAAGCATTATTTATATTGATGGAAAAAGTACTTTTTTGGAACAAACTCAGAAATGTTGATGTTGTTTTGAAGAATTTTAATCTTAATCTCAAAATTAAGATCAATTTTTTTGGCAGAAATGTATTCCTCCTGTTTTTCTATCTACAGTAACTCTACTATGTCAACGTACAAAAACTAACTTGGAAATAACTTTTCAGGAGGATATAGTAGATTGTTTAGAGTAAATAATTCCTTAATATTGATGAAAAACCTCTAGGTCCTCTGACAGATTATTTCATTATAACGTAGGAAAAATGTCTTGTTAGAAGTTACATAATCTGCCAATGTACTTATTTTTAAAACCAACATTAATGAATTGTTGACTTTTTCTAAGTGTATTAAGATACTTAGACCGAAAATCCTTAAGATCTGTTGTTGCTGCAGGAGACAAAGTCTTAGTTTTACTGTAAGTCAAATAATCTGCCAGTGACACCAGGATTTTTTTTTACCAATACTAAGAAATTATTGACATAAAACAAGCTCCAATATCTTGCTAAAAAGTAACTTTTAGTTAAGTTAGTTTTTGTACAATGACTTAGTTATTGTAGATAGAACAAAAAGGAGTAAATTTACGGTAATAATCAAAAATTAGTTTGAAAAATCTTTCAAATTTTCTCCAAATCAACAGTGAAATTTCTGAGTACGTTTTCGTCAATATTAAGGAATTATTCAGTTAAAACAAGTTCTTATGACTAAGAAACGAGACCAGAAATACTTGGCAAGGTTTTGTGTTTTTACAGTGCATGTGCAGCTGGACTCCAAAGGAAACTGTGTCCTGTTCGCATCACTCACTCAGCGTAAACATTTTAGTCAGGGCGAGCCAAACACAGACTCCTCTGTAAACAGAAGAAAAAAACGCCTCCATCCAGCCGGACGCTCCAACAAAAGGCAACTGTCCGGGATTTCAGCGTTGCGCAGCTGACCTGCAGCCGCAGGCCGGTGCTCTGATTGGCCCAGCCGCAGGGGGCGGAGCCTGAAGGCCAGGTTCGCTTTAAACCGGATCTCCCAGAAGAGCGGTGTGAATTTATGAATGGGAACAACTGTGCTGCAGCGCGTGAAACCAGAGATCTCAGTGTGAGTCAGAGGAAATGCTCCACTGGGGAGAATTGATCAAGAATTATTCTGAATTTTACAGGTGGAAACTCACAGATTGAATTATTATTGGAATAAAATCAGGAAAATGTTGATTTCAAAGCACCAAATTAGCTTTTAGCTACAGGATCATAAACTGGAGTTTAAAATAAAGTTTTTTAATAAACCAATAGTTGAAGAAAACGTCATTTAGTACACAGGTGCGTTGCACCGGACGGACGGACGGATGGTGGTTGGATGATGGTTGTATGTTTTGATGTTGGATGACTAGATGTATGGATGAACAGATGGTTGAATGACAGTTGGATGGATGACGGATGGATGGATGACAGTTGGATGGATGTTTGGATGATGGCTGGACAAACAGATACATGAGCAGTTGGTTGGATGCTGGTTGGATGACATTAATCCCTCCTTCCTGGTTGCTCAGGTATTCCCCCGTCGGCATCGCCTCTCTGATTGCTGGTAAAATCGCCGCCATCGGTGACCTTGAGATGGTTGCTAGGCAACTTGGGATGTACATGGTGACCGTCATTGTGGGCCTGGTGATCCACGGCGGCCTCATCCTGCCCGCCATCTTCTTTGGCATCACCAGAAAAAGCCCATTTGCTTTCTACTCCGGCATCTTCCAGGCCTGGATCACAGCTTTGGGGACCGCCAGCAGGTACGACCTTCACACGTAAAACGACTTTCACGTTTCAAACGACCTTCACGTTTCAAACGACCTTCACGTTTAAAACGACCTTCATGTTTAAAACGACCTTCACGTTTAAAACGACCTTCACGTTTAAAACGACCTTCACGTTTAAAACGACCTTCACGTTTAAAACAACCTTCATGTTTAAAACGACCTTCACGTTTAAAACAACCTTCATGTTTAACGTGACTTTTTACAATAAAAACTTCCAACCAAAACCATCTGGGAGCTGCTATCTGATCTGATCTTTGATTTGGCTTCGGTCTTAAACTCACTGTCTGCAACCACAGTACACTCTAAAAAACTATTCATGCTGTAAAACTTAAAATAAAAGCATTTTTTCAGCTGGAGAAACTTAAGTTGTCTACATGAACACATTTCAAAATGAAAAAGCACCTCAACTTAACATGAGTTTGAATGTTATTTGTTTGCTTAAGGAAAAAAATTATTACAACCACCAGAAAAAAGCAAGAGAAATAGAACAAAAATCTGAGGTCGGCGACTTTACCTGGTCACAACTTTCTTGTTTTATAGTGTTTTATTAATACAGTCAGAGGTAGGTAGAGGATCCAAAAATAGTACTCAAGTAAATCTACATCAACTTATTTTTACTCAAGTGAAAGAAAAAATTCCAAAATGAATAACTGATCAAAACATAGGAAGTTTATTTATTTCTTTTTTTAAATCATGTCATCAGGCAGATCAGAATATAATGTATGTGTAAATTTTGGTTATTTTAAGGACCAAAATCAAAATAATTTATATAAATAATGTAATTACAAATTCAGGCTGAACAAACCAGGTCAAGTTCCGCTTGGGTTGCTAGGTAACGGGGTGGAACTCTGCTGTGGTTGCTAGGTAACGGGCGGAACTCTGCTGTGGTTGCTAGGTAACAGGCGGAACTCTGCTGTGGTTGCTAGGTAATGGGCGGAACTCTGCTGTGGTTGCTAGGTAACGGGGTGGAACTGTGTTGTGGTTGCTAGGCAACGGGGCAATGCCTGCAGATTTGTGACGTTACATTCCGAAAAGTTTTTGAAACGGCTCATTTTCCAGACAAAACACATAAAGTTATTGCCAAAAATTGACCCAGTGTTTTTTTTTTGTTTTTTTTTAAGTGCTCGGGTTGTTTTTAGAGGCAGCAGAGTGGGAATTGTTTCTCAAGTTGAGCCAACAAACCATGTATTTTTTTAGAGTGTATCACTACGTGTGAGTGCCGGCTGTCAGACAGATCCCAGGTTGTAAACGTCTAAGCCTCCGGCTCTGGGCTGGAAATCTGCTGGAACCAAATGTCGTTCTGGCACATCAGCTGGGTTTTAGTGAAAATCGGGTAATCCTATCAACGTTTTCTCTAATTATATTATGAGCAGAGCTGAGCAGGGCCAGGAATCAGACTCCTTTAACTGAGGGACTGAAACAGTGACCGGCAGCAGCTGTCAGGAAGAGGCTGTCACCCGACTCAAGTTTCTGCCGCCTTTTATTCGTCTTTACCCCTTCACCTTTCCTCCACACGTCTGCGCTTATGTCTCACACCACCTGTCTGCATATTTTATGACTCTTTGCTTCTCATCTTCAAAAATCTGTGCTGAATTTTACATGTTGTTTTGTTTTGGTGTTTTTTCAGTGCGGGGACGCTGCCGGTCACTTTCCGCTGCCTGGAGGAAAACCTGAAGATTGACAAGCGTGTGACTCGCTTCGTGCTGCCCATTGGCGCCACCATCAACATGGACGGCACAGCGCTGTACGAGGCGGTGGCTGCCATCTTCATCGCCCAGATGAACGACATCACACTGGACGGCGGACAGATCGTCACCGTCAGGTAGGCATGAAAGAGGAAGCTGCTCAGGTTACGTGAACCCAATCAAATCACGCTAACTGGAGGCGCAACGACAAGAACAAAAATAAGGGTTTTGCTCAAAAGTCAAACTGTCTGGGCAAGTGAACATTAATCAGAGGCTTATTCACATGAACCCTGGTTCTAGATTTTAAATAAACGATAAAAGAAGTTTCTAAACTTGTCAAAATGAAAAATCAACAGCTGCCTTTCCGTTGACCTATAAATTGCAAACATTTGACTTACAAAATAAATTTGCTTAATGGGAACATCAATTTTGGAAAAAAATCACGTTGCATTAGGATCGGGTAGTTTTTCAGCTGTATTGGAAATTATTGTATTTCACAAAATTGCTATGGAAACTTTTTTTTGCATCACACGAGTCACACGATCAATAATCAAATATCAACACCAAACGACGAAGAACAGGAAGTGGAAAAAGTTTTTTTATTAATGAGTTCTTGTGTGAGCAGACTTTTCCACGTGTGATTTTAATCTAATTTCTTATGTAAGGGAAACGCCACAATTGTGTTTTTTAGCAATAATGGAATATCGACAGTTTTATGCACACAAGTGATGAAAATGAAGCCACTGCTGCACAAAACCTTCTGCTTGGTTTTGTAAGAAAATGTGAAAAATGACCAACAATGTTGGAAAATATTACAAAGAAAATTTAGACAGACCTGCAACTATAGGAGGGCGAATCAATCCAAAATATCATCAACCGCCGCAGCTGAAAATGTAACAGATAACAATTTGTAACAATTTGGTCCCAATCGAACCAAATCTACTGAACTATCAGATCTAAATAGAGTAAAAATGTATTAGAGGTGGAGCAGGAAGTGGATCAAACCTCATTAATGTCTCAGAATATCCCAGTCAGAGTTAAATCCAGTATTGACTCTTTGTGGCTGGAGGCAAATTCACCACAAGGTTTTTTTTTTTATTTGTCAAATATAAATATTTGAGAACACGATTCGCTTTCCTTCCACTTTGTGTTGGTTTCTCATAAAACACATTGAGGTTTGTGGCTGTTAGTGCAGCAAAAGCATTTCAAAGGGGATAAAAGCTTTAGCATAAACAATAAATTCGATCCTTTAAGATGTTTTTGTTGTTTTTTCAGCAACGTTACAAGCTGCAGACTTTATTTAAGTGTTTGCACAACATGTCACATCAGTTTCTATGTGATTCTTGTTACATAAATTTTGCTGTTAAATCTAGTTTTTCAGGTTTTTCTGTATGGATTTTCCTGCATGTTAAGAATACTTCAGATTTGTGGCCATTATTAATGTGTTGGGTCAAAACAAAACCCAGTTGGACCCAAAAGTCTTTCATTTAAGACGGTATAAACAGCCTGTTGCTGCTTTTCTTGTTAAATTTTCTGCTTTGAGGTATAAAATCTGCTGCCAAACTCCACGTCTGTCCAGGAAAATATATTAGTTTTTAGCTGTTTCATTCAGTGTCGCTTCCAGAAAGCAATTTTTACAACCACTTTACACCACATTTGGCTCGCTGCGCTGACCTAAGAAAGTAGCCAGGGTTTCACTTTGTTCTTGTTTTTTTCACAAATCTTTTTGCTTTTATGCTAAAGTAGAACCATCATTACTCAGTTTAAACATCTCACTTCTAGCTTTAGCTGTAGCTGAAGGGAGCGGCCTGCCACACAGAGCAGATCACCATCGGTGATAACAGACAGCGCAGGATTAGCTTAGACAGCTTTAAACGGGAGGTTTGGCTGAAGCTTTGGAAGTGGAGATTACTCTGTGAGATTCACCAGTGAGGTGAAGCCGTTTTCCTCTGGCGCTTTTTACCAGCTCTGTCAGAAAACTTGGCCTGGCAGCTTTTACAATTTGTACTTTGTTGGATATTTATCGCAGATGTTCGCTTAGATCTGCACATTTCCAGGCCACCTGTGAAACGTTTCTGCCTCCAACAGCAATAAAACCAGAGTTAGATTTATGGATAAACGGTCAAATCTCATCGTAATTCAAACTAAATTAAGTTCCAATTCAGAAATATTTCACTTATACTACAGAGAAATTAAATGCCCTAAATCATTTTGTCCGAGTCGTTGTGGGCAGGAAGGATCTCCAGTAGCAGTCAGTCTTGCAATCTGAGGAGGCCTCTGACTGAAGACTAAAGTGTGTCTTCACATCGGATTCTCCACCACAGTGGAAACTTTTAAAAGCTGCGTGAAAACTCGTTTTTAATCTTTGGCTTTTAACCAGCAGGAGTTCTGATCTGAAACTGTTTTGTTTCCTACGGAAGTTTAGAATCGAACTTCTGGGAATTCTGGGAAAGTCAGAATTTCCTGGAATTCTGACTTTAAATTTACAAGACTAAAGTCAGAATTCTGAGGAAAAAAATCTAAATTTTAAGGAAAAAAAAATCAGAATTTTAGGAAAGCAAATCTGAATTTTGAAAAAAAAAAAAAAAGAATTAAAATTCTGAGAAAAAAGAAAATCCAAATTCCAAGAAAAAAAAATTTGTTCTTATTTTTCAGTGGCACTAATCGTCTTCCATAAATTTAGAATAATGCAACTACACCAGGGTTAATAAACTTTTGTTAAACATTTTAATTATCCAAAATACTGACTAATTATTTCACCTGTTAGATGGAGAAAATGTCCAATGAAACCAGCAGTTTTCATCAGTATTAAGGAAAGATTAACTGAAAACAAGCTCCTACTGCTGTAAACTTACTTGTAAGTTAATTTTACTCCATTTCAAGTTTTTTAAGATATTTATGTTAGAAACTTGACAAAAAATACTTGATAAGATTTTGATTTTTTGCAATGTGTTATTTATTGTGACACGCTTAGTTATTTTTTTTTTTACTTTATATGTTTATTTTAAGTGTATGGCACCAATGTGTTGAGTTTTTTCCAGTATTAATTATAAATACAAGCAACCAGAACAAACATTTCCTGACATATTCTTAATTAACTCGTTCTGATATGGCTGTCAGCTGTTTTTCACTCATTTTCTTTGTGATTTCTGTGAAAATCCTCCTGACAAACTATTTTTTCTGCTGTGACCAGAAACAGAATTGCTCAGGAAACAGTGCGGATAAAGCTGTAAACGCAAACAGCTGGAGATTTAGCCTCACATGAGAGCTAAACGCAACAACACCAGGGCTGTAAATTATATTAATTGCATAGTTTTACAACTAAAACGAATCTTTTGCTGCTCTTTGTTTGCGTCTACGGTTCTGTTCAGATCCTAAAACAAAAATGTAACCAGATAAAACTCATTAATAAATTTCTCTCACAGTAGCAACATTAATAAAGTGTCAAAGGTTGTTTAGGAAAGTAAATTAGCTCAGATATTCCCAGTGCATTCTGCATGAAACATTAAGTTTGCTTATGAATATGCATTCAGTTGAACCAAGTCTAAACAAAACACAAGGCGTTTTTGGTGGAGTTGCATGACTAAAGCAGATTATTATGATATATGGAAGAGAGCGGTGGAGTAAAAATCTGAAATGAATGCAGTAAAGAAGCAATCAGACATTTTTTCCCATGTCTGAGGTTTCGGCTGAACATTAAGTCTTAATTGGAACCAGTCTGCTTGGACGGGACTCAGCTTGTTATGGCTGCGGGTTGCAAATAATGCCCAGCACTTTCAAATTGTTTATTGTATTTTTTTTTTCCAACAATGTCTGTTCACCACTAAATTCCACAACGCAAGTTTTGAAACGTGCTGGAAAGCGTTTTCTTCTGCTCTGAAATATTCCCCGCATGCTGCAGGCGGTTGGAGAGAAACGGAGACGCGACTCGGATTTCTGACGGTTTGTGGCGAAAGAAAAGAAAAACGACAAAATGGATCATCACAAGTAAATTATTACAGTTATTATGATGCAGAACGGATCAGATTCTGTAGAGAGGAAACAATCCTGGAGGAAGAGAAGTTTGGTTCTGTTTTCATGTGACGTTGCTAATTTAGCAAAATAAAGTTAATCTGAGTGAAAACGGCAGCGGCATCCTGTGGGATTCTGTCAGAGAGGGAAATAATCCATCCATCCATCCATCCATCCATCCATCCATCCATCCATCCATCCATCCATCCATCCATCCATCCATCCATCCATCCATCCATCCATCCATCAATTTTTTTATTTATCTTTTATTTTAAAAATTAATGTGTTATCAAATATTGTAAAAATATGTAGAACAAAATCATATTAAGCTGTTTCAAGTTATTTACATATAAAATTCATTTTAAGCATAAAGTGAATTTTTTCCTCATCCTCAGTAGCATCCAGGCCTTTATGGGCTCTTTAAGGTTCATGAAGTAACGTCTGATGCCGATTAATGGCCGCCATTAAACTGTCTGAACTTGCTGAGTCAGGGTTTGTTTCTCTCCAGAACGCGCTGACTGGCTGAGGCGTTTACTGTACCATTAATTCGCTCTGTTAAATGTTTTCTAACAGCTTCATTCACTAATGTTGGAAATTCTTCACAGAAACGTTCGCTCGGCGTTTCTTCAGTTCATACGTTCTCACGTGATGCTGAGTTTACAGGAAAGCTTCGAGCCAGAATAAAAATTAGGTGGTGTTTGAGGCAACAGTTTTCCTTTGTGAACAAACGGAGTTCATGTCAGGTGACAAACAAATTTAAAGGTGACCTACTGTTCTTCCTTGAACATTTAGGATTAGTTTATGGGTGACACCAAACATGTTTTTGCACAACATCATTCTTGGAGAATGAAAGTTTCACCCCCCGACTCACAGTTTATACTCGCACATAAAAATAAGTGGAAACAGATGCACAGTTATACAAAAAACATCTTTGAAAAGCATTAGTAGAGCCTCCTGCACAACCAACAAGAATGCAGGAAGTGGTTTCTGGATGGTAAGTCAATAACAAAACAGTCATACTGTGGTAAAACCAGCTGACCAAACATGCTGGAGATTAGGACACTTACCGTGTCGTTTATCATTTATTGTGATCAATATCTAAAAATTTAGATTTATTGTTGTCATAATAAACTCCAGAAAGTGTCTTGTTTTGTCAGAATTTGTTTTGCTATTTTCTTCACTGCCTATTCAATGAGTGTCAATGAATTTGAAAGTATGATCAAACGCAGTTACTGTGTGCAGCTTAGTGACACAAATTACACTTCTTTATGTGTCTGTTCTCCCAAAGAAGTTAATAATTATACATTAAAATTATGTTATAATTTTATCCCTTTGAGATCTCAAGATAAGAAAGGCATTCTAAATAAAATCTTCTTATTTTTACTATAAAGGATTTGTTTTTAAAGAGTAGTGTTGGTGTCTGTTGTACCATGGAGTCACATCTACCTCAAACAGATAAATATTTATTATCGCCACTTTTATTGTTATCACAATAGTACCATAAAACATTATGATAAAACTGTAAGTCCATATCGCCCACCACTAGCTGGAGTTCACTTCGGTTGCTAGGTGGCGGGTGGAACTCTGCTGGGGTTGCTAGGTAACGGCTCACTGCCCATGGAATGTGACTTAATAATCTGGATTTTTGAAACAGCTAATTTTCCAGACACCAAAAAGCATCAAGTTGTTACCTGGTTGTTTTTTCTAAGTTCTTAGGCTGTTTTTGGAAGCAGCAGATCCAAATAAAAGTACAAAAACCTGTAAAATGTGAATGTTTCCACAATAGGTTCCCTTTGAACATATTACCTAGTGTTCTCTTAGTCAGGCGACCTTGTTTCTTTTTTCAGAATTTAAAACGTTCTTTTAAATTCTGGCAGTATGACGGCCACCCTGGCCAGCGTTGGAGCCGCCAGTATTCCCAGTGCTGGACTGGTGACCATGCTGCTGATCCTGACCGCCGTCGGCCTGCCCACTCAGGACATCAGTCTGCTGATCGCCGTCGACTGGCTGCTGTGAGTAAAGGAGTCTGGTGAGCAGGGAATGAAAATATCAAATCATCTGCAGTTATTGGCTCAGAGACATTTCTTAGTACGTTTTGTTTTGTTTTGTTTTGTTTTGTTTTGTTTTGTTTTGTGCAGTCATGTAAACTGGCAAGGCTAAATTTGAACAAACATTGGATTCAGTGCGGAGGACAACAAACAATGTTTTTTCTGCAAGATGTCTGGATCAGAGATTTGAATAACATTCAACAAAGTTCCCACAATGCACTGCTGGAACTTTGGCCCTTTTCTCCTGACAGGGAGCCGTTTGTGAATTCACACAATAAAAAATACTGTAATAGAGAAAATGATGTGGGTGTTTATTACTGAAAGTGAAATCTCAGAGTTCCAAACTAAATATTTAATTTGAGAGCTAAATTTGTAATTTACTAATTATTTTTCAAACTAAAGATTTGGTTAATACTGTAAATATTTAGTTTGTAACGTAAATATCTAAGTATGAGGTAAATATTTAGTCTATAAACTATAAACTATTTATTTGAAAGTTAAATATTTAGTTTGCAAACAAACTATTTAGCTCCTGGTTAAATATTTAGCTTTATAATGTAATATTTAGTTTGAAAGTTAAATATTTTGATTACAAACTAAACATTTAGTTTTCAAATTAAATATGTAGTTTGAACTTTTTAATTTCAAACTAAATATTAGAATTAATTATTTTGAAATATTGATTTGGGTTGAAATATTTAAAACTAGCTGTTTTAATTTGAAAACACAATTATCAAATTAAATATTTAGTTAGAAAGCTAAACATTTTATTTGAAAGTTAAATATTTAGTTTTTAAACTAAACGTAGTTTGCAAACAAAATATTTAGCTCCAGATTAAATATTTAGGCTTAAAACTAAATATTTAATTTGAAAGTTAAATATATAGTTTGAAAACTGAATATTTAGTTTGTAGACTAAATATTTATCTCTAAATTTAAAAATTATTTTGGAACTCAAACTAAATTCATACATTTGTAAATGAACAACATGGTGAAAGTGTGACTCTGAAACATGAACATTTTTTCTCTCTGATAAACTAAATAAATCAAATTATTGCTGTTGGTTTTTTACTGTGTGTCTTTACAAACGGCTCCCTGTCAGACGGATCTGGTCAAACTGACTCAGGTTTTCTGTCTGACTTTCTCACACACACCTTTTGAGACTTTGACCTATTTTTGTCCAAGCTTTTACCTGATGGTTGATGATGTCGTTTCATTATTTCCACTCACTGCTCTGTCATCATGATGTCATTGTTTTACAGAAATAATGATGCTGCCACCCCCGTTCTTCACAGTCAGGGTGTGGTAATCACGCTTTTCCCACTAAATTCTCCATTGTTATTATTTCCAAAACATTAACAGTAAAATTTTAAATGCGTCTGATTTTTTTAAATAATCCTTTTAGGGTCACGGCTTCTTCCTCTTTGAGTGGCATTTCAGCTCATGTAAATACATATTTCACTGTGTATAATGATTCTTTTACCAGTTTTATCTAGTCTCAAATTATTATTTTTTATTCATCGGGCTAACATGACTATGAAACAAAGCCTTGTTAAACATTAAATATAAATACATTTTCATTCTTTCTGACCTAAAATAGAAAATGTTTAGTCTGATTTAATGTAAGACAGAGAATAAAACGGTTATGTGCCTTTTTGTAGTGTTTGATATGGGTTGTGTGAACTAGTTATGAGTAGTCAGTATCTTTCCAGAGGCAGCCAATAAAATCAGGGGATTATTTTGGAGATCAGTGGCATTTACAGACATTTTGGGGATTAAAAAAACTAATTGATTTATTTTAAGTGCATTTTACCATTTTTTAGGATTATTTAAATGACTAAATTATTATAAATTGATGAAAAGGTAATATCTAAGATATTCTTGTATTTTTTTTATTATTGCACCAAAAAAATCAGAAATTTTGAGATTAATCTCAGAAATTGTTTTAGAAAAAACAAGAAAAATTTCTTAGTTGAAAAGTCAAAAATGTACTTGAAAAACCTCAGAGATTTTGAGATTCATCTTACCGAGTTTCAAAAGTAGAAAATTTTGACTTTTGAAACTAAATTTCCACAATTTTTCTAAAAATTTCTGAGGCTAATCTCAACAGAAATTCTGTCTCATAACAGTATTTCAAAACTGCTGTTACAAGAATAAAGTCGTAATAATATGACTAATAATTATTCATAATTTTAGGATGTTATTCTCATATCCTCATTATTCTTCATTTTTTAAATTTTCTTAGTGTGGCCCCAATTCTTGGTTGTCAAAATGTTTTTGTCAGGCAAACTTACAGAAATGTGTGGCATCAGTAATACAGGCATTTAAATCCAGAAATGCTAATTTGGGCCACATATAAATACTTAGTAAAAACAAAATTTGAAAAGGGCACTTTTTCTCTAAGGAGGAACAGGTACCGGCGCTCTATCACCACCTAGTGTTTATCTGTGTACATCTCTGTTGGCAAAACCATGATTCCACTTCCTGGCTGTGTTTCTGCCAGTGACCGAATGCGAACCTCCATCAACGTGGTTGGGGATTCGTTTGGCGCCGGGATCGTGGATTATTTATCGAGGGCCGAACTGGCGGAGCTCGACGCAGCGGAAATGCTCCCGACAGAGGAGGAGCTGGACTTCATTCCTCCGCCGCCGATCCTCACCGAAATGGACCTGGTCGACCCGCTGAAGCCGCCGGAGCTGCCGCCTCGCTCCCCTCGCCCCCCGAAGATGAACCATCACAGCAACGTTCTGTCCCAGTCCCAATCCGCCACCTACTCGCCTTCCTGCTCTGTCCGATCTCCGTCTCCGCACTCCGTTCGCTCTCCCTCCCCGCGCTCCGTCTGCTCCCACTCCCCTCGGCCTTTCCGCACTCATTCGCCTCGCCTCCTCTGCAGGACGGAGCCGGGCTACTCCGCCCTGCCCAGCCACGACAACCAGGTAACACTGAGACATGACTTTTACCACCTTAGGGCCTCCGTAGGCAGAAAATACAATAAAAAGAGGAGAAAATTCCACCAATGAACTGAGAGATTTTGAGATTAATATCAGAAATTTGTTTGAAAAATGAAATTTCAAAGCTTGAAAATTTTCAAAAAGAAAAAAAAAACATTTTTAGACTTTGAGATTAGTCTTAAAAATTTTTGAGAGAAAAAACTTGGAAATTTGAGTCAAAAGTGAAAATGTTTTGACTTTTGAAACCAAAGATGTTAAATTTTTTTCCTCAAAAATGAAAGTTTTTTTCTAGCAGACTTTTGAAGCACAGAAATTTTCTTGTTTTTTCTAGAAAATTTCTAAGATTTTTTGGCAGAAATTTTCTCATTTTTTTTTTCATTTCTATGTAAAATTGCTGTAAATTTACATTCTTCACAGAATGCTTTGATATGTTTCCCTCTGCTTCTAGATTTCAACGTTACCACGCGGCTACAGAGAGCGGGATCGGGATCGGGATCGGGACCGGGACCGGAGGCGCGACAGGATCCGGGACAGAGAGCGGGAGCGGGAACGCCTGAGGCCAGAGAGCGAAACGGAGGAGGAAGAGGACAGAGAGCGAGTTCTGGGTGAAGTGAGCGACGGCGAGGAGAGCGACGACACCGCGTACGATCGGCGCTGCGCCATCTCACCGAGCGATTTACCGTGACGACATCTTGGTCTGTTTTGGTTTTACGACACCATTCCTTCCTGCTTCGTAAATTTGCCAGAAAAAACTTGGAAGTTTTCTGAGTTTCAAAATTCCAACATTTTTGACTCAACTTTTTGAAATATTTTCATTCTCAGTTTCTGAAATTAAACTGAAACTTCTGAGATTTTCAAGAATTCCTTCCTTTTTCATATTCTTTTATTCCTTCCTTTCTAGACACATTTTTAAATTTAATTTATTTTATTGTCTCTTGTGTATTTAATAAAGCTGTCAAAAATATCAGAATCTGTTCTTGTAAGAAAAGTTTTTCTTTCCTCCAGTTTCCAGCTGCAAACGTTTCTGCTTATCAACTATTTATTGATCTGATTACAATCAGATCTCAGTTTATTTAGATTTATCTGCCAGAATGCTGAAAATGTAAATTTAAAAGCATAAAACGATGAATCCGTCCAGCAGATGTTATTTTTCTACACCTTCCTGAATCTCTCTTCCTTGGTAATAATGTTGCTCAAATCATGTGAGGTTTGTACATTTATTTATTGTGGTTTGTGTGTGATGCTGTTTTAATGTTGTACGTTTAAATCTATTGGTATTTTATTCTGATTTTGTCATTTAATTTCTGTATGTCGACCGTCATCCTTCACCCCTAAAGTCCTACATCAGATTCACATCACCAGGTTCTGTGTATATTGTAATAAAACCTTATAGATTTATTTAAAGTAACTGTGATTCGTTTGTTTTATTTTAAAAAAAAACATCTTGTGCAGTCTGCAGAAGGATTTGCTGTCAGAAAGGGGTCAGAAAAATCCCAGAGACAAAGATATTACAGGATGAACAGAAACAGAGGCAAAGTACGCACGTCACACAACACACAGCGATATGAGCGCGTTTAATCCGCTCAAAGAAGAGCCAGAGACGGGCGAGGGGACGCCGAGGGCGGCAGATGGCCACAAAGACGTCAATGGTTTTCATTCTTCCCAGACAGCATAAGGCCAGGCCGCGCCGACGCCGAAAAGAATCTGAATCCGCACTTTTAAAATACTAATTTAATGAAGAAACTGAAATTTTTACGAAATATATTTGGTCTAATTTTCAGTTCAAACATCTTGGTTCAGTTGAAATAAGAAAAAAATTAACATACAAGTAACTTTTTTTTGTCTTTTTTGTCAGATTGAACGAGGGGAGTCCAACGTCTCGCTCTGCAACCGACCGGATCCATCAGAACCTCAATAAATGTATCGGATGAGGACGGTTTCAGTCGGGTTTGTTGTTTTTTTTTCATTTCTGCTGAGACGGGCTCCGACTGCTGGTGAACTAAAGTTAACTGTCTAAGGAGTAGACAGTGGGTATTTTTAATCTGTTTTCACCTCCAAGAGAGAAAGTAAATAAAGTAACTATCGGGAGATAGTGGGTTTTGTTCTTCTTTCTCTCCTAAAGAAACAAAGTAACCATCCAAGGGAAGATGGTTTCTAGCATTTCTACACCTCCAAGGAAAGAAATCCAGAGGAGAGACGTCTCACTGAAAATATGAGTTCAGGAACCTCAAAGAAAAGTTCGGAGCGGCCTGATCCTGGGCCCAGCACTTATATTTATGACCTAATGGCAAAAAAAAAAAAAAAAAAAAAAGGGGAATGACAGTTTTGCATGGTGAAAACAGAATTATGACTTTCCTAAAGGACAAAGCTTGAATGTAAATCAATTGAAACAGATGCAAACACAGCTTGATGAAAAATGGATATATAAAAAATGCAGGCCACACTGACAATGTGGGTGCGCTTCCCCTTTAAGACAAAGGACTAGCAGAACTAGAGGGCCCCAAAACCAGATTTCGCTTTGGGCCCCATGGAGGCTTGGGCCGGCCCTGTGCGTGTGTGTGTGTGTGTGTGTGCGTGCGTGTGTGTGTGCGCGTGCGTGCGTGCGCGTGTGCGTGCGTGCGTGCGCGCGCGTGCGTGCGCGTGCGTGCGCGTGCGTGTGCGTGTGTGTAAACATTTTGGAAAGCTTGTGCCTTTGGGTTTGAGTATATTAAATATTTTAAACACCCGACACTGACCGGAGCAGCTGTTGACCTCTGGGTCACCATGTTGGGTCTTAATGGTTCTTGTCCTAAAGCGGCGCTTCGAAATGAGCTGAGTGATGATTAGAAAACCGCCTGAAGTGCATCTCAACCTTTTTCACATTTTCTCATAGCATAACTACAAACTTTACTGGTTTTCTTTGGGTTTTTAGTGCTACTCTGATATCAAGCTGTGTATATTTGTGATGTGGAAGAAAAATTATGCATAGTTTTATCAATAAATGTTCAATTAAAAACTGCAAAAAACAAAATCTTACCATTTTTAGTCTAGTTTCTGGAAAAATATCTTAGTATACTTGAAATAAAACAAGAACTTTTCAGCAAAATATAGGAGTTTGTTTTAAGTCAGTAATTCCTTAACATTTATTTAAATTACTAGTTCTACTGGCAGAGTTTATAGAACTTGTGGAACAAAATATTTTGGTCATAAAATAGTTTTAATAAACTTTTAGCCATCACATCAAAGATTTGAGAAAAAACCCAAATCTGCCTCGCCCCTCATCACTTAATTAATGAGAAATTCAAATTAATCACAACATTTCTGGAAATAATAATCATTTACAGATTTATGCTACAAACTAGCTGAAGAATATTCTAACTGCTTGAAGAAAAACTAGAAACAAAACAACTCAAGAGCATTTAAAAGGGAAAACAGGAAGTAAAGGAACTGTGCACAAGAGAAAACAGACTGTCAAAATAAAACAGGAAGTCAATTTAACACAAGAAATAAAAAATACAGAATCAAAACAACAGAAATCAAGAGCATGATGGAAAAACAGAATCAAACTCCTTCTGATCATGATAGTTTTGCAGGTTTTGGACCAAAATCATGAATCAGAATCAACTTTCAAACAAGAAACTCGACTTACTTTCCACTTTGCTGCTTCTACACTCCGTGCAGGAAAGCACGGAGGCGGAAACATGCTGGTTTGGATGTTTTGTTCACGGTTTCACTGCATTGAGGAGCCCAGAAACCCTGAGGATGACTCACGGTCGGGTCTTCCAGCGTGACAAAGACCCAAAACCAACAGTCACAGCGACGAAGGAGTGGCAGAAGAAGAACCAGCTGGTGTCAGGTTCTGGCCCGACCGGTCTCCACTCATCACCCTGCAGAGGAAAAAGTGAAGTTCCCCAAATAACTGAAGGATTCAGAGAGCTTCAGTGAAAACCAAGGGACTACACTGTAAAAACACAAAATCTTACCAACTATTCCTACTGCAAATGTTTTATTACACTTAAAATAAGACAAAACTAACTAATACGTAAATTTTCAGGGAGATATAGGAAATGGTTTTAAGTCAATAATTCCTCAATATTGATGAAAAAGTTCAAATTATTTAAATTATAATGACTTTTTTCCTATGTTATAAGTAAATATGGGAAAAACTTTGACTTTTTCATCAGTAGTCAGGAATCACAGAAATGTTGAAAAAATGCTGTTGAGAAAACAATCTCCTATATATTTCGAAAAGCTACTTGTTAGTTTTTGTTTTTTTTTTCTGTAAAAATGAAGGGTCAGCACTGCAAAAACACAAAATATTACCAAGTATTTTCTAGGAGTTTTACTATGTCAATAATTCCTTAATATTAAAGAAAAAGTACAGATTATTTAACTTAAAACAACATATTTTCCCCCATGTTATAAGTAAAATAATCTGCAGCTGGAACTTTTCATCAATATTCAGTAATTATTGACTTAAATAAGCTCCTATTTCATGCTGAAAAGCTACTTAAAAGTTAGTTTTGTTTTATTTAAAGCATATTAAGATGTTTGCCTGTTAAACTAGACCAAAAATACTTGGTAATATTTTGTGTTTTTGCAGTGTAGCTTCTGTTTCAGGTGATATCCTGTAAAAATAATCACCTGTGTTCTGCAGTGAAAGTTTCACAACTTTAATCTTCACTTAAATCTTCTTGATCATGTGGTATAAATGAGTAGTATCATGTTAAGATGGCAGATTTTTTTTAAATGTGAGGTCATAAATCAAAGCCAGTGGAAGAAGGAAGCGCCTGTTTTATGACTCAGTCTGACCTCTAGAGGTTGAATCCTTCCTCACGCGAACCTGACTCATAAAATCCTGAGATTTCCCAAAGCAAAGAACCAGAAAACAATCAGGAGCAGAATCATCCGTCATCCATTGTGTGTCCGCCTCGGCGTTTAAGCCTAGTCATGCTTTAGAAAATAAAAGAAAAAGCTTTTTTAATTTTCATCATCATCACATTCTCCGGGAGTCGCTGCACAGCGAGTCATGTGGAAGGAATGCAGAAATAAAACATGATCTTTACTAAAGAAAGACGTGCATGTATACATGGGAACATCTGCAGACAGCATGGCGTCCACACAGCCTCATAAATTACACATATTCATTTAAAGACCTACAGTCAGAAAACTTCAGGTAAAACAGTTTTTGTGGCGTATTTATTCTGACTGAATAATATAAAAAGAATAATACTGCAAGCATTCTTGTTCTACGATTTGGCGCAAATATCTGAATACACCTGAAATAAGATAAAACTAACTTATAAGTAAGTTTTCAGCAAGAATTAAAGAAATAAATAATTCCTTAAGATTTATTTTTAAAAAGTACTAGCAGATTATTTCACTGATGACATATTCCCCTTGTTATAAGAAAAAGTAATTTTTGGACGATTTTTTTTCTTTTACTTGATTTTGCCTAATTTTCTTATTTTGTGCGACACAGAATTAGAGCCATGCTAGGAAAAACAATTATGAGAATAAAGTCGTAGTATTTTATTTGTAGTATTCTTGAATATTACAAATAAACTTAGCATTTTTCAAATTTTATTCGAATAATATGAATAAATCTTTTATTATTTTGAAGAATAATCATTTAAAATAAATTTTTATTTATTTTAAATTCGTAAAATAAATTCAATTTTATAATTTGAATTTTATAATTCTCATGATTTAATTTTAATTTTTTAGTATGGTTCTGATACTTTAGTAATCATTTACTTTTACTTAATTTTGCATGATTTTGTTATTTTGTATTATTAAGAGTATTAGAGCCATGCTAAGACAAAAACTTATGAAAATCAAATCATATTATAACGTTATGCTTGTAATTTTATGACTGTTTTCTTGCAGTGTGGCCCTAATGCTTGGTAATCTTACAATTATTTTATACCAAAATTTCCACTTAGCTATATTTTGGTCTTTCTGATTATGTAATTTTTAAATATTAAATGATTGATAATTTGCTCAGTTACTTGAGTAAGAGTACTCTCTACTCTGACTTGAGTAATTTCTACTTTGAGTAAAAATTACTCAAAGTAATTTTGAGTCTCTCTGACTGTAATCTTTGGCTGCTCTGCTCTCTGTGGTGCTGAATAAAAAGTACGGTGACTGATTCTGTCGTCAGATTCTGATCCAGCTCGAACACGTCCAGACCTCTCTGACCTGAGATCGGCTTCTTCCCGATCAGTTCCTCTGTACGAACTTGTCCCAGAATCTGCGGCTGCAGAATCCAGGGCTGCGGCGGCAGCGTGTCAGTCAGTCTGTGTTACCCAGAAAGCAGTTGGGCACAATATCAACACCAACACCGTGAGTGAAACAATCACTGGGGCCACCTACTGTATAAAGTGCTCTGGGGCCAGGCCTCTATTATTACACATCAACGTTTGTAAAATACCGAACTAATCGCGTACAGTATCGGTTCAATACGGGCCGGGTGGGAACCCTAGTTATGATGGAACTTTAAGAAATGTAACATCGATGTTCGCATGTGCATTAACACAAGATTTGCTTTTATGAGCAGAGTCTGCTTTTAATGTAGATTCAAACTAAACCTTTCTCATTTTCGTCTTGCAGGCTGACGTTTGTAAGAAGGAACTTGTCAGACCGGATAGTAGAGGACAGAATAGGTTCTCCTTCCTGTCTTTTACCTCTCTCTCCGTCTATCCCTCTATCATTTTAGACATAGGTTTTAGCATAGACTGAAGATGAGGGTTCGTTCACAAGTGTTGCCACATAAGACGAAAAAGAAAAGTTTTAGTGCCGAGGCCGTTTTAAAGACTTTGTCTTTAAAGCCCCATACCTTATGCCTTCCCGCAGGAGGCGCCTTCCCGCAGGAGGCTTAAGGTACGGGGCTTTCAAGACAAAGTCTTATAAAAAAAGCCCTGGCACTAAAACTTTTCTTTTTCGTCTGGTGTGGTATCACTTGTGAACGAACCCTCTTCTTCAGTCTATGCTAAAACCTCCATCTAAAACGATAGAGGGATAGACAGAGAGAGAGGTAAAAGACAGAAAGGATAACCTTTTCTATCCTCTGTCCAGTCTAACTGGTTCGTTCTTACAAACGTCAGCCTGCAAGACGAAAATAAAAAAATTTAGTGACCAAATGATCGCAGAGGGCCTACATTCAAGGACTCTGTCAGTGACGTCAATCTGTGACGTATGATTCGGGCTTTGACTTTGAAAACCGAGAATCACGTGACCAGCTGAGCCAATCAGGTGCAGGTGACGTCACAGTCCTATCGCATACAGTATTTGAATGTAGGCCCTTTTACTTTTTACCCCTCCCTGGAGGAGGCGTAAGGTAGGAAACTGGCGCTCTGCGGGGTGGAAGAGGAGGAGTTGCCCCTGCTCCGGTGGAGCTGTACGTTTTGGAGGGCAGATCTGTGTGAGACCAATCAGAGGCAGGCGATTGGCTCAGCTGATCACGTGATCCTCTGGCGGCAACGTCAAAGCCTGAGTCATACGTCACAGTTTGACGTCAATAACAGGTGTTCTGAATATCTGTCAGATGTGCGCAAACGCATACCTTAGGTAATGCGCACGCGCACATCGATGTCACGTCACATACTGCTTACTCAGCAGATTTCTTATAAATCCGTCATACGTTTCATTGTGTGTTTTATTTCTCAGAAGTTTACGGTAAATTTGATCTAATTAAGCTGCTATGTTAATCAAGCATATTGACATAAATGACTTTTGCTGTTTCCAATATCGTTACCAGACTGTAATAAAGACATTAATCCAGTTTAGCGTCACTATTACTACAAATACTGTTTGACTACAGATTTGGTCTCCCGCGGGATATTTTGTCCCTATAGCTAATCTACCTATTTAATATTTTAATACATCTTTAGAAAACTGTACGGAATATGTCCTAAAAAAAAGCACATGAATAACGCTGGATGCTGACCGAAGCTGTGTTAAATAAGATGATGATTGAATCTGCCAAGATGCTAAAACTGAAATGTTGTATTTAAAACACAAAATAAAGGGAAAAAATTCAATTAAATATTAGATTATTGTTGAAGTGGTTAAACAATGTGGGGAGTTGTTTGTAAAGTCATGATGAAATATTTAGTCTACCAACTAAATATTTACTTTTCAAACTATGTATTTAGTTTGTAAAGTAAGTATTTCGCTCTACTATACATTTAGTTAGGACCAAAATATTTAGCTTACTCATTAAATACTTAGTTTGTAACTATTTAGGCCCAATCTATATATTTAGTTAAGCTAAATACTTTGAATATTTAGCTCCAAGCTAAATATTTAGTTCATAAACTAAATATTTAGTAAAGCTAAATACTTAGTTTTATATTTAGCTCCAAGTTAAATATTTAGCAACATGCTAAACATTTAGTT